TACTACTACTACTACTAGTAGTGGTAATGATAGCGGTCGTGGCAGCGGTAGTGCGCGGGTAGTGGTGGTGGAAATCCTCGTTCTTCTTATGGCTATTGCTTTGTCGTCGTCGCTGCAGCGGTGCTTGCGGACTGAGCAAGGATGAGTGCCGAACTGGTTCTTCTCAAGATTGCCGGCAGTGTGCCGAAGCTTCTTGATCTCCTGCGACGGATCTACAAGAGGCAAAGCTGATGCAATGAATCGACGATATGAGTCTCGTGGTGACAATTCCCCATGGAGCCTCGGGACCCGAAAGCTGTGTCCTGGTCGCGCTCCCAGAGCAGGCGTTCCATTCGCCTGCTTCCGCAGGGAAAGGAACGGGTGAAACACACCGAGCCCTACTCTGCCTGCGTGTTGCTCTTAGGTGATTTCTAGAGCAGCGATTCCTCTTTTGGGTCCTTCAGCTACTTTTGGTCGGTACTTCACCCATTCACCTTTCTTGACTTCTAGACAATCCCACTCCTAGATTTAACCCCATTCACCTTGTTTGACTCCTAGACAGGTAAACATTTCGCGTGCAGCCATGGGCCATGTGTGGCTAGAGGATTTGCAAGAGGTCAGGTTTCCGCGGCTCCGGCCATCTCTTGCTCCTTTTAGTCCCAGCGGCTGCAGCTCCTCCTCGAGCTTTGCGCGCTCCAAGCCACCCCGCTCCACGCCTGGCTTCAACTGAAAGCGATGGCTCGAGCCTTCTGGCATGTTTACCCGCGGCGACGAAGTTACGAGTAGGAATCGAAACATGAGACGAGGACGCCAGCATTTCTTCAGTGGAAGAAGGCTCGGGTTGGGTTGGCGCCGTGCCTGCGGAGAGCAGGAGGTCTTTTCGCTCGGCGTGAGCCGTGAGCCGATCAGTCGCAGATGCAGTGACCTCTCGGCTCACAGAATGTCAACGGTGTGCGTTGCGCTGAAAGGCCCCCACCTGTTTGGCCACCTGCACCTCGGTCTCGACATCTCGCAGCTTGTGCTTCAAACGGTTGCCTCAGCTCGTCATGGAACGGCCTTGAGCAGGGCTGCAAACTACCAAGCGACAGGCATTCCCGCTGCGCTTCTGCCAGCTGCGTCTGAGTTCAGCAACGTTCAGGAAATGAGAGAGCCAAGCTTCGAACATCGTAGGCTTCCGAGTTACAGCTTCCTGCTAATGGCAACCTGGCTAACCTAGACCTTTTTTCGTGAAGTCTCATCTGTCAGTGCCTTCATTGCGTGCATCTCGGACTCTTGCGCCGCAAGCACTGCCTGCCGCAGGGGGTTTGCAGGCAACCTTCTTGCAAACTGATGTCAAGATCAAAGCTAGCGCCGTAAAAGCGCACACATGCGCGCACCCGTGCACGCGAGGGCTCCGCAGCGTGCGATCATCGGAGCTCTAGTGACACAATCCCCTATAAAGCTACAAATGATACAAACCCACAGCCACCTTCAGCTCGTGCTTGTCAGCAGCTTCAGGCGGCGCAGTCGAGCGCGGAAGACGGCCAGAAGCTGGCACCTTATTCCAGCAGAATTCACAGCCTGACTATGCCTGAGTACTGGTTGACTACATTGAAGCTCCTGCAGTTGAAGTTGTGGCACAGGTTTTGAATTTCCTTTGCAAGCGGAAGAACAGCTTTCCTCAATTACCAAATCGTGTTGTGGCTTGTTTAGTCTGACATCTTGCAAGTTTGGATACTTGGGCTTTGTCATGGCGGTGGAAATAATGAAAATCTGGCATGAAGATGAGAAGACAGTGAAAGGTGGAATCTTCATGAACGCCACAACTGCGACAAACGACAAACCGCAGCAGAACCGTTCTGCAGGACTTCAAGGCATGTGGCGTTTGTTTTCGTGAAAAGCGCTTCCGACACGTCCCGTACTGACTGAGCAGGGCTGAGCAACTTCTGCGTTTGCATGTCTGCCGACACGGAACTGAAATTACGGGTTCAAGTTCTTGCACTTTGTAAGGACCACCACATGCGGAATAACAAGTTAATTCCGTACTTACGTCAGTTGGTTCACATTCCGAAGCACAGCCGCTACTTCACACAGAAAGGCGGTATCATCGACATGTTAAGACTTGCATGAACACTGAAACGATTCCAAGATTTGCGAGGTCGGCGGTCAGCGTCCTGTGCCCGAGGCCCGGTCAGTGAAAGCCATGGCTCAAACTCGTAAGAAATTGAATCTCAAGCCACTAAAATCACTAAAGGCAATTCTAGATGGAGGTCATGAGAGTAGCAAAACTGTCAGGCAGAAATAAACTTGCAAATAATTGCGCCGGTGGGTGATCATGCAGTTGTTGGAAGCTCCGAACCAAACGCGGCCGCCTTCATACCAATGGCCTAAACACGGCAGTGTACGTACAGCTACAGTACATACCGTGCTTCCGTTAGTTAGAGCGACGACGGAGACGACATTCACCACTGCTGGTGCCATGATCATCATGACCACATTGTCCATAGTAGAGCTGCCCTTCTGCTGCTTAGGGTCCTGTGCTGACAGGTGCCACAGCGTACCCTCGCGAATCGGAACACCAAGGAGCGGCTGGTCCGGCGATGAAGAGTACCTGCCCGGCTTTGCACAGCACAAGAGCAGACGTGAGCAGAGGCGGCATCTTGTAGCACCGCAAGCCCACTGTTGCCATTGCGAAATCCGTCTACGTACGAAGCCCTCAGCTCCTTTCCACTCATGGGTTTAACGGCCTCTTGAACTTCTTATGGCCCGAAAAATGGCAGAACAGGCAAGCTGTGTGTGCCTTTTGCAGCTCAAGGCATGAAATTTATATGTGACGGAAACACACGAGGCTTGAAGGCACCCTCAATCTAGTCCTGTCATGCTTCCAGAGCCTCATCTGTTATTTCCCAAGCCCAATCCAGGCTGAAGCGGTGGTCTGTTTCACGCCACATTCTGATCTAACACAGCCGCTGCCGGGTGCAAGCTGAAACCTACAGCCTAACAACGATCATCATGACCAGCTTTGGCTTAAGATAATTTCTGGCGCTGCTCCTGCTTTAAAGACAAGTTAATGCTACGGGCACTACTGCTGCTGCGGTTGCTCCTGCTCCTGCTACGCGTACTCCTACTGCAGTAGCACCACCGATACTCCCCCTACTACCATTACCGCTACCACTACCACTACCACTACGACGACGACTACTCCTCCTTCTACTACTCCTACTCGTCCCACTACTGCTACTGCTACCGCTACTCCTACTACTCTTACTACTCCTATTACTACTCCTACCAGTAGTAGTAGCAATACTCGTCGTCGTCGTCGTCGTAGTAGTAGTAATAGTAATAGTAATAGTAATTAGTAATTAGTAGTAGTAATAGTAATAGTAATAGTAATAGTAATAGTAATAGTAATAGTAATAGTAATAGTAATAGTAACAGTAACAGTAACAGTAATAGTAATAGCAATAGTAATAGTAATCGTAATAGTAATAGCAATAGAAATTATAACAGTAATAATAGTGATAGGAATAGTAGTAGTAGTAGTAATAATAATAATAAGAATAGTAAAAGTAACAGAAATAATATAGTAATCATGGTAGTCATAATAATAATAATAATAACAGCAATGATAGTAGTAGTACTAGTAGTAGTAGTAGTAGTAGTAGTAAAAAATGATGATAGTAATTTGTAATACTTATAACAACATAGTGAAAATGTCATCCGATGCCAAGCCGGGCCCGAACCCCGCCACCAAACAGTTGCATTTGCCGGGGAGGGGGGGTGTTGGACTCCGCCTGACAGCAAACTCCCATTGACACGACGACTTTTCCACCCCGGGACCGTGCTTTGCCCTTGCAATTGCAAAGTCTCGGTCATACCTCAATGTTTGTTCGGTTCAAAACGCTGTTCCTTATGCTCGTTTCTCGCAGTGCTTTGCAGCCTGTTCCGTAGTCGTGGTCTCCGATCCTGTTGACGCTCCCACGTTGACACTACCGGACTACCGGGTTTCACGCAAACTTCTAAGCCCTAAGAAGCCCTATTCTCGGCTACGTGTGCGGATACCCGCCTCATGCCGTGCTCGGATAATCTGCCAGATCGTGGCATCGTTCTGGTGCACGCTGTCTTGGCCCAGGGATAGTATTTGGAGGCTTTGCGGATCCCATGTGAGGGCCCTTGGAAAGGCTACTTTAGAGCTGAAGATCTTGGGTGTTGGGGGCTTTCGGACTTCGGGTTCAGGGTTTTTTTTGCTTCGGGCTGTACAGCGTAGGGTCGTTTAAAGTTTTGACGTCTTTGGCGTAGGCGTAGGATGAACTCTTGGAACTTAAACGGGGTGTGGGGCAGTGCACAAGGGCTTGGGGTACCGGAACTCACCTGTTGGCTTTATAGTTTGCCGGCGCGGTAACTTATTCATGTGGAGGTCCGGGCCCCAGACGACTACCCGGCATCATGAATGAGAAACCCAGCTTGCACGTGCACCCACACACACACACACACGCAAATCAAACAAGAAAGTCAGCAGAACGATGACGTTGAAGAGCAGTGAGAGCAGTGAAACATGCCCACGAAGTCGGCAATGACTGTTGTTACTGATGCAGAAGACGTCGAAGGTGGATGATGATGCTGATGATGATCAAAATGATGACGATCACGACAACGGCAAAACGACCGAGATGAGGAAGAGATTACTGTTGCTTTTGATGAGGGTGATGGTTCTGACAGAACTTCCAGACGAAGACGCAGTGCCGCATTACTAGTCGTTGTGCTTCAAGGCCACGGCCAACAGCAGGAAATCAAATCGTTGCAACACTAAATCCCCCGATTCCACTTTCGGGCCCTGAGCTGCGCACTTTGCATGGTGCCGGTGGCTCTGGCTCGGCTAAGGAAAGATGTTTCAGCGAAGACCCGCCAAGCATTTAGGAGTCTTCAGAGCTTCAGCTTTTTGTCCGAGTGTGGCTTGTTAGGCTTGAGTTCAAGCTGGGTGCTTTGGTTTGGGCCTCAGGTTGTTGGCATTTTTTTACGGTGCAGATTGGGAGTGCTAGGGCTTGGGCATGCTAAACCCCAGGCCGCCACGTGTGGGAGATCTCATGCTTTGAGCTCTGTGGACCTTGAGCAGCGCCGGAAACGGAAAAGGGCCTCCCTGTGCTTCTGCCTTCTTTGAGCCAGCGGGGTCACGAAGACACCGGCCGTAAATTAACCCCACACCTCGACCACATTCAAAGAGCATGCCCCAACCGGCCTAACATTCCTAACCCATGAACATAAATTGCTCACTACAGTTTAGATCCGAAGGCAGCCTACAAACACAACACTTGACCTCAAATCAGGAACATGAAGTCAGCCGACAGCTAACCTGTCCGTCTAAGAAGAATCATAATAAGGCTAAAGTGCCGGTTTCGGGTTTAAGAAGTCACAGTTTGGGCTTAGGGTTTGGAGCTGAGCAGAAGCTGGAGGAAGTCCCGGAAATGGAGTTTGGTTTGCTCATTGAGATCCAAAACTTAACAGCTGCGCAAGTTCCATCTGCATAGAAGAGCACGACACCCCTTGCATGCCCGCATGATAAGGCATGTGGCTTCTACGCTCCCGGGTGGATACGGTTGAAGGTCTAGGGCTCAAGGTGTTGGCTTTAGGGGTTTCGGTCTTCAAGGTTCTGGGGTTTGGGGCTTGAGGTCTTCGAATTGGGGGAATGGCATGTAGCAGGACTATTCTTCCGAAACATACGAGATGTAGATCGAAGCTTGTGACAGCGATGAGATGCCGAGTATTGGTTAGATAGTTGAACAGCAGCAGCAATGCACCCACTTCTTGTTTTAGACGCCGCCGTTTTCGGCGTCTATGAGGAGGTCGAGGCCTCTCAAGTGCAAATCTGCCAACTGCCAAAGACAAACCGCGATCAGACACGCCGAAAGCCCGCAACTGCTACTCCCTGCCACTTGTCTGCGCCTGCCCGGACGCGCCAAGCGCCTTCCAGGGCGTGGCCACGACTCCGCACCTGCGGTCGGACGAAATCGGGTCAAACAATAGCTTTCGGAAGCAACATCTGGGTTTGCGGTTTTATGAAAGATCCAACCAAGCGATCAAGGCAGGCTTCCCGGCCTGGTCCCCGAGGGTGGGACGATGGTTCTGCTCGAACACATCCCACGAGGTCCAGGTGTAAACCTTGCACACTCGAGGGCTTGGGGGCCTGGGGGCTTGGTGGCTTCGAGGGGGGCCTTGCGTGGGATGAAAGTGATTTTCTTAAGGTTCACCTGAATGTCGGCAACGCTATCCAACATCCGATCTGCACATAGGTTATTAGCGGTTGTATTTGAAGGCTATAAAGCTATATGGTTTTCGACAAAATCCTTCGCTAGCACCCTTTGTCATTCATGTTTACGTGTGTCGGACACAAGTCCGAGGCGAAAAGGCTGTATCTCCGACAGTTGCCCACCGTGCTGGGGGTTGCACGGCAGGAGCTGGCACCACCTGGGCCACCTGGGGGGAGCTGCCGTTGGGGACCGTGCGGAGTTCTCAGACTCTCCGTGGGAGGCAACAACAGAGTTGACATAAGGGCCGTAATCA